CCCCGCCTCTGACCTGACGAACTGACATAAGAGCCTATCAGGAACGCGCAGGGAGCCGCAGCGGGCTCTGATTGGTCAGACTTCCCCCCCGCCCTTCTTCGTGCCCGCTTTTCTGACGGACAGACAGAAGAGCCTACCAGGAGCACGGAGGGAGCCGCAGCGGGCGTCGATTGGTTGGCGCTACCGTGACGTTACTTCATTCATTCCCTCCGGGGTTGCTCCGAGCACTGCCTGCCGGGCGCCCTCGCAGCTCTGTGTCCACGGAGCTCCGTGCGCCCCGGGAGGACGGGAGGGCGGCAGGACGGCAGGACGGGAGGACAGGACGCCCGCAGCAAGGCCTTCGCTGCCCTCACCTCCCGAGAACCTGGCGGTGTCCATGAAGGCTCAGGCTCAGGCCGACGCCCGGCTCAGCGCAGGCCCTGCGTGAGTTATGTTTGTAAGAAAACACGAAAAGGCTCCGCTCCCTTAAAGGGTCTGAAGGCGACGAGGTCTCCTCTCGGGTAGGTTAGCGTTCTGGAACGAAATAGTGGTGATGGATGCCCGACCTTACACATGTACAAATAACACTGAAATGTATGGTTTAATGGCGAATTTTATATGAATTTTACCACCAACAAAACCAAAAATGCACAAACTATGGCCTCCAGACACACGGAAATGTGGAACACGCAATGGAAACATCTGGAAACAAGGCAGGGGTCTTGGCCAGAAAGAAAGGAGCAGCGCGGGAGTGCTGCCCCGAGGCCAGCCTGCTTCTCTCGGGCCAAGGCCCAGTGGAGGGTCTGTCACTGAGCGCGGGCCTAGCTCAGTACCTGGCAACCAGCGTCCGAAGGGAACTGCATTCTTCATTTTGCGGAAAAGAACATGGAGACTCAGAGGTAAGACTCCTTCCCCCGGTCACACAGCACACCCAGCACCTCCGCTCCAGGGGACTCATCGGAAGCAACAGGCTCTGAAGTTGCGTCATGTGACCAGTCCACAGGGCGTGGGAAGTGCTTGCATCACGCTGCGTCAGTCATGACTGGGTTTCCAAGTCGGAATTTCCCTGGGAGATAGCAGCCCGGCCGCCCTGCCTCTGCTGCATGTTCCACGAACTCCAGGCCGAGCCGGCCACCAGCAGTCGTGGAAACCTCCCACGGACAGCTCGTGGCCAGGCGAGCTCTCAGGTGTAGGAACGCTTCCCCTTTGGGAACCCTCCGCTGTGAACTCCCTGCAGGAAATGGTTCTTGTTGCAAAGAAGAGGTTCCGCTGCACAATCAGGAAACTGTCCGCCTGCCTCTGCAGTGATCCGGGAGGGTCACTCCTCCAGAGCAGGGGTCAGGCGGAAGGGCTGACTGGAGCCACCTGGTCCTGCCCACGTCCAGAGATTTCTCCTGAGCCAGCTCTCGGCTCCCGGGAAGGCAGCCAGCTGCCTGTGGGCGTCACTGAAACGATCCCGAAGGACTTGCCGGTGCTTCCAGCACGAAAACGCTCTTGCTTATCGGAAACATTTCTGCTTTTGCAGGGTTTTCACGCACACACATATATGTATATTTTAATTTGACTCTGATGACAGGCCTGCCAGGTGAGCGGAGTTGAGAACCGAGGGAGGGGGAGCGTGGGTGGCAGGGCCCTGACCAGGAAGTGCCGCCCCACCCCCGCCTGCCAGCTCTGAAGGGGTGACACCCCCAACCTGGCAAGCTGGAAAGGGGTGACTCACTCTGGTCCTCGGGCAGCTCAGGGGATTCCCAGTCGGGTTCCTTCCTGCCAAAAAGAAAGCGAAACTCAGCCCGCAGCCGCAGCAGGAAGGAGCCAGGAGGCCCTGGGACAGCCCCGTGCAGCCCTGGGAGGGGGCCTAGAGCAGCCGTCCTGGCCTCAGTGCCCCCCAGAGGAAGGCATGGCCTGGCTGCAGATCAGGGTCAAGGCCGTGTGGACACGGCTGCTGGGGCCTCCCCTGCCCACGGTGAGCAGACCAAGGTGGGAGGGGGGCTGCCACTGCCACCTACTCTGCCTGGAGGCAAGCAGCCCACCCCCCTCCTGCCTCTGGAGCCCACCTGCCTCCTTTGTCTTCCTTGCTCACCTTGGCATCTGTGCCCTGACAGGGACGGCTCCTAAGGTGCTCACCTCACATCCGTTACTCAGGCCTTTGGAGGACAGACGCCAGCTTGCACAGGAGACGGGAAGGGTGATCTGGGTCCCCACTCAGGACCTGGACATGGGACACCCTGCATGTGCCCCTCCGGCTGTCCCCAGAGCCTCCTGAGGCGGGGCCCCCTCGCCAAATACAACCCGCTTCTCTGCTCCCCCCCGTCTGCTCATTTTTCAGACATTTTAAGGTCAACCCCAGGCAGCAGCTTCTGAAAGAAGCCGGTTTCACTCTCACTCAGCCGTCATCTGAGGGGCACGCTTCCAGGCAGAGAGGAAGGGAGAGAGATAGAGAGTTAGAAACATCGATGAGAGAGAAACACCGATCAGCTGCCTCCTGCACATCTCCAACGGAGGATGTGCCCGCAACCCAGGTACATGCCCTTGACCAGAATCGAACCTGGGACCCTTCAGTCCCCAGGCCGACGCTCTATCCACTGAGCCAAACCGGTTTCGCCATTTTTCAGACATTTTAAGGTCAACCCCAGGCAGCAGCTTCTGAAAGAAGCCGGTTTCACTCTCACTCAGCCGTCATCTGAGGGGCACGCTTCCAGGAGGGCCCGGCCCGCCAGCTCTGCCCCAGAATTCCCCTGCACCCGGGCCAGCCAGCAGGGGCTCCCCCTCCGGCCTCCCCCCAAAGTGCACAGCCAGGCCACCCTCCCTGAGACGTCCCCTGAGGGAAGGAGAAGACACAGGGGGGGGCCAAGCCACCCCACCAGCACCGTGCTCTGGGACCAGGAGGTCGCCCAGAACTGCAGGGAGGGCGAGAGGCCCAGGGGGGAGGGTCTGCCCGGGCTGGCCACTGGCTGGGAGCCCAGCAGGAGAGCAAGGGCGCACAGAGCCGGGAAGGACAGCTCCGTCCATCTGCACCCGCTGTGGACGGGGAAGGACACGCAGTAACAGAAGTGGGGCCTGTTCCCCCTTCACCACCCCACGCTTCTGGGAACCACTGATGCCATCACCTGTTCAAACCCCGTCTGTGCAGCACAGAGGGCACTCGGGAGGCTCTGGAAAACGCCAAAGTGCCAAGAGGAAAGCAAAGATGCCCCACATCCCCTCACCCACAGACAAGCGCGGCCAGGATTCCCAACCAGTGAACACCCACCTCCCTTCAGGACACCTCAGAACACAAATGCCACCCCACACCCGGAGCCAAAGGCCGGCAACAGCCTCCCACGCAGAACTGAGGCTGCCCAGGCTGTCCCCACCTCTGCTGCATGGGGCCTG